AGAGACAGTATAGTTCTTTTGTGTTTGTGTTTTGTTTTGTTTTGTTTTCTCTCAGGGAAAGAATCTACCTCATTTCACACACATTCCGAAGATCTCTTTCTCTCCTGCATATGGATTCATTTTGGGGATATGCACATGGCATGTAGAAAATTAAAGAAATCTTACTTTATGATACCGAAATTCGGTCTTACCTGAAAACATTTGAAAATTAAGAAAAAGTAAAAAGGCGCCAAGGAGAATAAGGTCATGTGAAGGGAAGGCACTGGGAAAAGAAGTCAAATGACAAAACCCCAAATAACCTTGTCTCTTGTGAAAAGCTACTCTGTCCATTTACCCAGAAGTACTACATGAAAGCAGCTGCCCATTTCTCTGTTTCAGTTTTCTAAATATGACAGGATCACCAACTAGCAGAACAATGTTCACCGGCATAGATCCATCAGTTCTGGTACACAGCCGAAAAGCTAAAAAAGAATACCACAAGACTGAATGAATGTCTGTGTACGCTGACCTAGTGAAATAATTCTACACCGGGCAAGGCTTATGTGTGCAAGGCAGTTAGCGCCTCTGGGCACTGATGCATGTTCAAGCTTGTCAAGAAATATATTATACATCAGATCAATATGCTGAACAGGATATTCTGTTTGTAGCTCTGTTTTCTAACATTTTACACATCTTTAGAGTCTCTGCACTTACAAAGTGGCCCCATAAATATCCCAGGATACTAACAAAATGAGAAGTTCAGAAGTCGAAACCAGCTAACGGTGGGAAGCTGTGCTGTGTTTCCAGAGCCTGTCTCATCGAGGACCACCTTTCCACCCACTTTCTGGGCAACCCTCAGAGGATGGCAGCTGCTAACTTAGAAAAAAGAAAAAAGTGCACCGTGGAGGAGGCAAAGAATTATTTTTAAGAAAGAGCACAATCTAACTTTTCTCTCCACCACCCACTCCACACCACCTCCTCATTCCCTTGTCTTTCCTCCTGCCTGCTCTTCCATTTCACTTTTCTTCCCCAGCCTCTCTCCCCGTTGCTCATGTACCATACTTCTCACACGTGTTTCCTTCTCTGCGTCCCAAGCTGGGACACCAGCGCTTTCGCCACACTGAGAAGAGGAGCTGTGCAAGGATTTGGAGCTACCGCTGAACTCAGCGGGGGAAATGAAGCTAGCTAGCTTCCTTCCTCAAAGCTCCAAATACGTAAGAATTAAAACATGTGGTCACTTTGCTAAAGCCTTGTCTTGACACCAAAGCATGGAGAAAAGAAAAAGCTTCTGTGTCATAAGCCAAATGAACCCATTAATTATGACATCTTTCTTATATGCCTAAATACTAGAAGATTTTTGACCTACTTCTTCTTATAAATGCCCTCTACTGTTCAATTCCATGCCTCTTCAATACTGCTTCTGAAGCTGAGCTGCCCAAGTTCTGTGTGGAGTGGTGAGCATTTTTAAGTGTACATGATGAATCCATGTGCCCTGTGAGTCCATTTCTTCCATCAGCTGCATATGACAAGCAACTCGACACATTCGGGAGCCATCTCCCAAAGCCAAAATACCACTTTAGCAACAGTTAAAATAATGAGGCACTATCTAAAGCAGAATAATTAAAAGTTAGGACCAGATTTACAAGGCAAGAGAGGAAGGCAGAGCAGGGAAATATAAAGATGATTTGCAAGGATTAAAAACAAGAAAATCGGCTGAACCTTTATCTATAATGTAGGAAATATTTAGGCAAATAAAAGCAATGCTTACTTATATCTTCTTCTGTAGTAATCCATCCATTCAATTACTCTTCAATAAGCATTTATTAAGCATATACTGTGTGCCAGATGTAACATGATAGGTGCCAGAGATAACATACTGAACTAACAAATCTGATCCAGTGCTCGTAGAGCTCATAATCTAGCACCAGTGCGAGAAAAAAGTGTGGGCTCACAAAATTGCAAATTGAAACACGTATTATGAAGAAACTAAGAGCTGAGAAAGAATAACTTTGGAAAACATACATTAGATACAGTAATAGGAAAGTCTTCTCTGAAGAGACAAAATTTTAAAGCTGGAACATAAAAGAAGAGAAAAGCTTACCAGGACAAATACAGGGTGACTATTCCAGAAAGAGGATTACCTGTGCAAAACCCCTGAGGCAGAAAAGGTTTGGGCACCAAGAATTTGAAAAAAAATCAGTGTAGCTGAAGTAAAGTGAGCAAGGAGAGAAGGACGTAGGGCATGACAGTTGAGACACTGTGGGCCATGATCCCCAATTGAGATTTTATTCTAAGGACAACAAGAAATTTTCAGCAGAGGAATGGTATGACTCAGTTACTTTATGGTGATCACTGTCGCTTCTATGTCAAAGAAGACTTGAAAAGTGGAGCCTATTGCAGTTGTCTACGCCAGAGATGACAATTCCCTGGCCCAAAATGTGGCAGCCAAATTTTTCAGCAACAGACAGATTCAGATATATTTCAGAGGTAGAACCAACAAAAGTCACTGGGGGATTGCATATGGGGATGATGGCAAGGAAAGAATCAGAGATGATGCTCATCAAGTGACTCTATTTACATATAGGGTTTTTTTTCAGAAGAAGCATCACCTGATACAATGACAGGCCCATGCAAGAATCTGGTCTATGGGCCATGGTATGTCTTTAAACATGAGTAACTTCAAAACCCTAGATCCAAGAATAACAGAAACTGTGTGTGGCTGTTCTTGAGAAAGAATAATGACATACTAGGCAGATATTTCAGTAAATGAGTTTTCCCATAAGAATTTTATTGTCATGTTGGTGCCAAAACCCTGTAGCTTCCCCAAAATCATATGGTTAAATGTCTTTCTACAGCTGAGTGTAATGAGTATAACATTTTAAGTAGGGTTACAACAGATAAACCAGCTACCAATTCATCTAGTCTCCAAGATAAGCAGTGGAGAGAATATATAGCAATTTCTAAGGGGATCTTCATGCTGAATTGAATGACTCATGTCGAATATGTTAAAGGCATATTACAGCATAACTTACTGACTAGCAGGAAAATTACTAACTATAAAATGCAAATTTATAAATAATTTCATTATAATCACTGAACAATTTTGTCTTTAGCAATGGTCTCTCATACGATCCTTTCAGAAACCAAACATACAACGCAATGCAGTACTCCCCACGGAGGAGACCCCTGAGGGTAAAGAGAATCAACTGCCTTGTTTATTATACACGCTGCACTCAAACTGGTCCCCAAATGCCACAGAGAGCAACAGTAGTCCCATGGTAGACACACACTCGGTCTCACTACCTTCCTGATCAGTTCATTCTCGGTTACTAACTTGAGTATTACTGGCATTGTTTCCATTGCGCTTCCTACAAAGCTGATGTATAATTATCATCTCAAAAGCCTTTGGCCCATTTGTCTAGGTGAGCGTCTCTCCCTTTTTAGTATTTACAGTGATGATGCACTCTTGTTCTTAAATTGTAGAATGAGAGATGACTGTGAGAGAGACACAGAGAGAGAGATCAAACACACATACACTGGGGAGAGCACTTCTGATTCTGACTCAGGCTTTGCCGAAATGGATAGCAAATCGAGATAAACAACAGTAATTTATTGGAAAATGGATGTTATCTTTGTTCCTCCACATTGTTAACTGTGACCTTTTTTATCTGCATTTCAAGGACTTTACTTGAAACAGACCCCCTTTTTTTTTAGTCAATGTATGAAAGATTCCTTTCAGAAAGGCTTTCCCCCAACATTGCAATTGAAAAGTACTTAACTCTTGACTCCTGCTCTCTGGTCCCTTCTAAGTCTTAGATTTACTACAACACTTTTAAATTTTAATTTAGTGGTCCATTTCCAAATTCTCCTCAAAATGTTTATCTTTAATTTGGTGGTCCATCTGTGTTCCTCCTCCCAGCATAATACCACTCCAGCTTCTAAGGCACATGCTCAGTTCCAATTGCGAGACTATACAGGATTCACAAATTCACATCACTACACTTCACAACCTCTTTAATTTAACTCTGTAAATTTATTTTGCAACACTTCTGAGCTGTTAATTCATTGATTTTGGCCTCTCATCACCCACAATGGCTGAACTGGATCTTTATCTGTATTACCCCTAATGCATTTTATAGCAGGTTACATATTTCTGCAACTGTAGCAAAGAGATGAAGAATGTAAAGAGCCCTGCCAACATGAAAAGCTGTCACTATGTAACTCCTGTCGGGAAATCTCCCAGAACTGGCAGTTGTTTCTAATGCTTCTCCCTTCCACTGTACATACTCATTCTCAACTCAGACACAGAGTTACCTAGATAGCCAAATATTCTCCACATCGAAAGAAACAAAAGCAACATGCACATGCACCTTAAACAGTCTACCCTATCACTTGAATCCTGCTATTCTGTTCTTAGTAACACTCTTATGCAAAGTATGATATCTAATATGTTCAACATTTCAAGAGCTGTGTCACTCTACATTCTTTTCTGACTTACAGGATGCTTCTCCACTATTCCTTTTTAAATCATCCATCTGGTCCACAACGTGGTTAAATGTTACCTATAATCCTGTAAGTATCATCTATATCTATATCTATATAAATGTATATCTATATAAATATATACCTATAATTCTCATCTTGACCTACTGATTCAATAGAACCTATTTCTAAGCAGAAACAATCAAAAAATTTCTTTAAGAATCTTCCAGATACTGTTGACTACTGTAGTTAAAAACCATCAATAATACTCTGCCCTTTTTCACTAATCAAAATGTAAGACACCTGACCATGCCTATAGTTTGTCAGATCTTTTTTGACCAACTCAAAATTTTTACCAGATCTCTTCCTAGACCAAACTGTTGGGACAAGAAAAGCATCTCCATAGACATTGTTCTTTAGAAGAGACCATCCCCACGTTATTGCATCCCTCCCCATTGGCAACAGGATCCCAAAAAGTGTCTTTCCCAAGGATGTAGGAGTGAGGCAGAGAGAGGCACCGACACCCAGAGAGTACTCACTGAGTGGTTTTAGGATGCTGCTGCTGGATTCATCAGCATTTTCCACATCTGACTTGTCAGAGTAGTTCTCAGAGATTCTCTCCTTCTCCTTCTTTTCTTTGTGCCCCGTCTTTCTCTTGTGACGTCTCCTTCTCCTGTAGCTCTTCGGCACATGGACCCCAATGTAGATGGTGTGGTGGCCTAAAGGAAGGTACATAAATCACCAATCATTTCAAATCACACTCTCTGCTGCCTATAAATTGCGCTAGGTAAGAAGAAAATGTCTTAAATTCAACAATACCATTCTATATTGGACAAATAAACTCAAACTGGAAAAATAAAGTCCCTCCCAATTATCAGTTAGCGAGAGTGCAATTTAATCTGTTGGCTGGCAGGAGGATTCTTTGAGTGTGTCCTCTAATTCTATCCTGATAAACTATTTTTGTTAAGAAAAAGCAAAGAATACCAAACCAGAAATCAGGAATCCTTGATTTTAGTCAGACCTCTGCCATCAATTAGCTAGCTATATATGACCTTGAGCATCTCCCTTAACCATTCTGGGCCTCAATCTCACCATTTGTATAATGAGAGTCTGAAATTGGGTATCTCCCAAAGGCCCTTCAGTTCTAACCTCCGATGAGTCCGCGATTATACTTAACAGTGTGCCGGAAAAGGAGTTCTTGGAGCAGCAAAGGATAAAGATCTAACTAAAAGTTCAAGAAGTCATTCTGCTGGGGATAAGGTTTTACACTAAAACTTTTTTTTTAACCCAATAAGCAGAATAGAGACTTAGAACTGGGACAAACAGAAAAAATAAGACATACTTAGAAGATTTTAGAAATACTCAAATGTTCGCACTAGGAAGCAGCTAAAAGGAATGTCAGCTACAGTGCCATTCTCATTTTTCTTTTTTCGTTCCCAAAAGTTTCTAAAAACTGGTTGTTGCAATGATAAAAATAAACCCAGCCCAGCAAAAAATTGCCTTGAAGAGAAGGGCATAAGGAAAAAAGATTGTGAAATGCTTTTAGTTCTCTAGATGGAAGAAGCTGCAAAACTGACAAGTGGTATTATTTTTACAAAATCTGATAAGATAGAAAAAAAGGAACTCAAAGTTCCACACTTTTTTTTTAATTAGGAAACTTTTACTTTCACTTTATACACAGCATAACTTCTGAATGTGGGGATCGCCATTTCAAAAGTAATGTGAAAACTTTTATTTTTTAAAATACAAATTGGATTTTCTCATCTATGGGTTTCCTCTCCCATTCTGGAATTATTCCTTGAAGACCACTTTCCAGTGCCACAGACAATATCATACACCTACATGTAATACTCAAACATGCAGTTTGTCTGATACAAATTGCTGTGAATTACTTTCCGCAGTAACTCATTAGCCATATCTAAAAACACCATAATTCACAAGGGTGTTCCCTTAAACTGGAAGGATTAAAACAATACATCCTCCCCCAAGAAAGAGCTTGAAGGAATATTCCAATGAAGGAATACAGAACCCTAAGTGAATGGGTTAGCATTAAAAAGAAAACATCTGATGCTTGGAATAAAGTTGGAGGCATGTATGTAATATATGGACCTCCCCCCACCAACACACATACAAACACACAGACACACAGACCAACTCAATTACTACAAAGTACCATGAAATTTTCCTCACAGAGCATGTACCAATGAAAAATATATCATGTCTAACCATTTGCAAGCAAATTGTTCTCATGGGAAAGTTATATTACATTAGGAAGTAGGAAATGTCTCAGAAACAATGTGAATTAAGTAACAGTGTCAATTATTTCCTGAGCTCCAGTTACTGACGGAGCTTTATCTCAAGTCACACAATATATGTAAGCAAAGCCAACCAATTTCTTTGGTAAAGCAAACACTGAAAGCTTGGTTGCCTTCATTCAAAAATTAGGAAAACATCATGAAAAAATGAAGAAATTGGAATTTTTGTTAAAACTTGTCACATTATTTTCTACATCATTAAATAATGGCAACTAAGAGAAAATGGCAGTTAAGCTACATAAGTTATATTAATGTTATATGGAAAGATTTTTTAATATATTTACCCAAATCTATATAGTACATCTCATAAAGGACATTTAAAGGACAGTCGTCTATGGGCTGATAGGATTTGAAGGTAAGATTTCTGGCTATAAAGTATTGTTGTCATCCACCAAATGAAAGAGTTAGGGCAATTCAGAAAGTGAGCTTTCAAAGGCCATGGAGAGTAACATACCTCACGTTTTAGAAAATAATTTGAGTTGTCATCACTACAAAAAGGGCATCATTTTATTCCCATTGTGATCAGAGGCCTCCTCCCTGCCTTCTGAGTAAGAGTCAATTTATCCCCATTTCCTCCAGCTCCGGTCTCAACTGCCTTCCCCCACTCACTGTGTCACACATTGAGACAGGCGGGAAAGCTTTCAGATATGATGCTGGCTATGAAACGTGGTTCCTTTCAAGACAGCCCATGTTTCAGGCATTTTTTTTTTAATCACCTTTATCAAGGTATAATTTACATGTCATAAAATTCAAACATTTTAAGGGCATAATTCAGTGACTTTTAGTACATGTACAGAGTTGTACAATCATCACTATAATCTAATTTTAGAACAGTTCTGCCGATTAAAAAAGAGCTTTCATGTCCATTTGAAAACTTACAAATATGCCGGGTTCTAGCTAGGTCTGTTCCCACTCCCATCCCACACAGCCACTTTCAGGCATTTCTGACACTCTGGGTGATGGCCTCTGGGAAGCTACAACTCTCCGGTGCCCACAGGGCTATGACTTTTTTTTTTTTTTTTAAATTATGGCGACATTGGTTAATGAAATCCAGTAAGTTTCAAGTGTATGATTCAACAGTAAGTCATATATATTTTGTATTGTATGCTATGGACTTTTTGTGGGGATCCTGAGAGCACAGTAAAATGCAGTAATACCTGAGTAAGGAAGAAATTGCCTTCCCAAGGATGCCAGAGGAAATAATGACACTGAGATGGGCCATCCGAAATGCAAAGCACCTTCCTTGTCCTCGCACACATTACTGGTAACCAAATTTTCTTTCCTGTCTTGTGTTCAGATAGAGGAAAAGGTACATGGTCCTGAGGTTAAATAAACCTTTATGAACTTAGGGACAGTGCCTGTGTTTCAACAATCACTTCTCAATCTCTTTCCAACCTCAGCTTCTTGCCCATGAGAAGAGAGGAAATATAGCCTTGCCCTGGCGAGTGGGGGGTTAGACATGCTTTCTCAAGGTTGTGACCAAATATTTTATAAGCTGTATGTGGTAAGAACCAAAATATCAAAAGTACAAAAATACCAAAAGTAAAATGAGTTGTGATGGAAGCATTCTTACCACCCTACAGAACACCTGTCTTCAGGATCAATAGAATTATTGATGAAAATATGCTGTTTTGATAAGACTATCATCAGTGGATGTCAATATTTATATTCATTAAAATATCCGTACTTGTCTCAGAGATATGTTATGAAGATTGATGGCTAATTGTAAAATCACAGCTCATAAAATGACAGCAAGCTCTTAGGAAAGCCATAAAGGTTGAGAGTATAGTATTATTTAACATGTAAAGTAAAAACGAGAAACGTGACAGAAAAGCTTTCTAATCTAGCAAGAGTCTACAAAACGATAAGATGCTCAAAGAATCAGGGACAGTTACCTGCTTAACTCATCAGGAAAGTTCAGGCTTAAAAAAAAAAATTCTCTGCTAGAAATGTCAGTAAAAGTGCTTTCAGAGATAGTATAAAAAGGAGGAAAATGTTTTTTAAATAACAATAATTCATAAGGAAAAGGTGATTGTTTAAAATGTTATTATAAAAAGGTTACATTCTTGCTACTCAAAATTTCATAAGGTAAAACTATGATAATTTACATTTGACGATATTTATTTAGGTGTGAGTCAAAGGGCACTCAGTCCTTGATTTGGCAGTGGTCTCAGTATCATGTGTACAGATAAATACCCTGCATGCCATTCTCTGACAGATGGTGCAAATTCCACTCAAACTCTAAATGTCTTGGGACTATCTTACAATCATCCCACTGCCAGTACAAGTGGGAAGAAAACATGGCTTTCCAGGTTATCTTCGAATGTCAGAAATTATCACCAGATGATTCTTGATTCTGCCCATCACCTGCTCCACCTCAGTTGAAAACTGTGAAGTACTGTGAAGCTCTCATGTCCTATTCTCCCAATTCCTAAGATATTTCTAAACAAATAATCCTGATAGTGGCTATCATGTTTTCAGGCCAACAGAGAACCCTTATATTTAGTAACTCTCTAATCATTCAAGTTAAAGAGGCTTTCACAGATATCCACTTTGCTACCAAGGATGATTTAAGACTTTGGAGAATTAAACCCATCAAACCAGAAAAGGGTTTTATACCAAACATTTTCTGAGGAACTGAGTGATTAATAACATATGCCTCTATATGCAAGATAGATCTATTAGCTCCTTTTGGAAACATATTGATGTGTTTACAGTACACACAGATGATAGAAATCATTTATTGAGTCCTTACAAATGTGCCAGGTTCTGGCTAGAGGGCTCTTCTATTATCTCATGCAGTCTTCACAACTGTGAGAATTAAATATTGCTATTATCCCCACTGTACAAGCAAAGAAACCAAAGTTCAGGGAAGTCAAGGATATTGTCACCAGTGAACTCATAAAATCCCACAAAAGAAGTCTCTCTTGAGTGTCAATATTAACAATAGCGAGCACTTCATCACTGCTTTGGGAGTGTTTTGTTTTTGTTTTATTTTGTTTTGTTTTGTTGTAATATATACTATATTTATGCCATCGATCTTACAACTGATTATGTTTCCTTCCTCATGTTGACTGCTAGAAATAGAAGAGATGACTCTTGGGCCAACCTGGGTAGAGTTTTGTTACATGCATTTTATACATTAACCTCACTCTTCCATATTTTCAGCCATTTTTTTCCCTTCACACTAACTTTTTTTGAAGCAAGGCAATATACAAATATTTTTTAAAACCTGAGATGTCAATACTGGGGGTAGAGAATGAGGATGGCTAGAGGTAGCTGGAGGTAATCACAAAGTAGATTTCTGGGCGAAAATTACACCTGTCCTCTGGTGGCTCTTCAGATAGATCTAAATTTATAGGCCTAAATCTTTGCCCAGAAATCTACCTTCCTCTACACCTAGC